CATTCATTTTTGATCGTAGAGATAAATGCTATCAAGATTTAGTGCTAGATCAAAATGTAATAAATACGGATTTAGCAAATAATTTTTGGCGGCAAAAATATGAGTTATTAAAAAATTAATGACAAAACAAAGTAAATTTTGTAGATCAAACAAAACACAGCTTGCATAGGTACATTGGCAGAGTATACTTTGGAACTTTCAACATTCGCTCTAAATCCCACGTATAACGAATTATGGCGTTTTTGGTTCCGAAATATCATTACAATTTTGTTGCCTTTTTTCTTGCTTGCTTTTCTTAACACTAGAATCGTAATTGTTTTACACAGGAAGCAGTACAGTTCCTCGGCTTGTGAACTTAGCAGATCCGAAAGAAAGGTCAAATCAAATTCTATTCAATGAGAAACTCTACGATTTCTGATTATTATCAAAAAATACTTTTGAAATAAAATACTGTAGAATATTTATTTTTGGTTGTTTTGTGATTTAATCCAAATGTGTGCTTTATTGATTTTTGATAATAATTTAGTGCACAAAACTCCAAAAATGGTAAGTTTCTGATAACAATTTCGCTATTGCTTTTTAGCTAAGAATATCAGCGGAAGTTTACGTTAACTAATTTTTTGTGTTGGTAAAGAGATTTGAGTTCAACGAGCTATACAGTAACCTTCCTGTAAGGTAGTGAGCTAACAGTCTGAATTTGAACTGAATTATCACTTAATTTATTTTTCATAGCTGTAACAGTAATTAAAGGTATCGAATATTGGAAATGCAATCGGATTACAACTAAAAAACCAATTAAGAAACCAAATTCATGCAGTTAAAATTAGCTATTCACTGAGATAAACGAATTTTATACTTTATTTGGTACTTCAAAGTTGATATTTTAAGAATAGCAGCAAAAATCAAATTAACCTCAAATAAAATAGTAGTTGATTTATCTAAACTATATTTGATAAACAAATTTTTGATTACAAAAACATAATTTCTTAATGATAATAATAATAATGATAATAATAATAATAATAATAATAATAA